TTTCTGTTTTAATATTTAGATCTTTGATCTATTTTGATTTTGTTTTAGTGCAGAGTGAGAGACATGAGTCTAGGTTCAATATTTGGCGTGTGGATAACTGATTTCCCTAGCACCATTTGTTAAGGAGGGTATCTTTCTTCCAGTTGAAGTATTTGACCCTTTTGTCAAAGATAAGGTAGCTGAGTATACCTAGAGTTGTTTGTACATCCTCTATTCTTTTTCACTGATCTACAAGGCAATTTTTTGTGTTCCTTTGTGTGTTTTTTCTAATATCATGCTGTTTTTAATCACTGTAGCTTTGTAGAAACCCTAAAATCCAGGATTGTGATGCCTCTTGCCTTGCTATTCTGGGTCTCTTCTGGCTCCACATGAATTTTAGGATTGTTTTGTCTACTACTGTGAGGAATAGTATTGGTATTTTGACTGAGACTGTATTAAATCTGAGTAACAGTTTTAGAAGTACAGCCATTTAGACCATATTTGTTCTACCTATACAGGAACAGTGACTATCTTTTCATCTTCTGATGTCCTCTTCAATCTCCTTTTTCATAGCAGTGTAATTTGTATTGTAGGGGTCTTTTGCTCTCTTGGTTAGGTTAAATTCCTAAGTATTTCATTTTTCTTTTTTTTTTTTTAATTTTTTCTCCGGTACCGGGAACTGAACTCATGGCCTTGCGCATGCCAGGCAGGCGCTTTTGCCGCTGAGCTAAATCTCATTTTTCTTGATACTACTGTGAAAGGTATTGTTTCCCTAATTTCTCCCTTAGTGAGTTTTTATTGATGTATAGGAATGCTATTGATTTTGAGTGTTAACTTGGCATCCTGCTATGCTACTGAATTTGGTTATTAATTCTAGGGGCATTTTCATGGGGGCTTGGGGGTCTTCTATGTAGAGGACCATGCCATTTGCAAATAAGGATAATCTAACTTCTTTTCCTATTTATGTCTCTTTTACTTTTTTCCTTTGCTTAATTGCTCTGACTAATGTTTTGAGAACTGTATTGAACAGGAGTGGCAATAGAAGACATCCATCTTTTGTTTCTGATTTTAGAGGACAAGTTTTCAGTTTCTCTCCATTTGTATGATGTTAGCCATTGCTTTGTTAAAGATGGATTTTATCAAATTGAGGTAAAGACCTTAGGTACCTATTTTCTTTAAGGTTTTTATCATGAATGAATGTTAGATTTTGGCAAGTACTTTTTCTGCATTTACTGAAATGATCATGTGATTTTTGTTCTTGCTTCTGTTTACCTGGTGTATTACATTTATTGATTTGTGTATGTTGAGCCCTCCCTGAATCCCTGGCATGAATCCCACTTGACCATGATGCAGGATGTTTTTGATGATTTTTCTGCATTCTATTTGCCAGTATTGTATTGAGGATTCTTGCATATATGTTCATTAAAGAACCTGACCTGTAGTTCTCTTTTATGGTTGGGTCCTTTTCTGGTTTTGAAACCAGGGTAATGCTTGCTTCCAGGAATGACTTTGGGGGTATTTCTCTCCTCTGAACTTCATTAAAGAGTCTAAGGACTATTGACATTACATCATCTTTAAAGTTCTTGTAGAATTCATCAGTGAATCCATCAAGACCTGGGCTTTTTTAATTGGTAGTTTTTTGTTTGTTTGCTTTTTTTCTCTCTCCCTCCCTCTCTCTCTCTTTCTTTTTTTTAGTTCTTCAATTTCATTGATATTGGATTATTCAGGATTTTTATTTTTTTTGGTTCATATGAATCTAGGAATGTATCCATTTATTCTCAATTTCCCATTTTATTACAGTACTATTTCTCCAAGTAGTTACTGATGATCTTCTTGATATGGGCAGAAACTATTGTGAAAATTTGCCTTTTTCATCTTTTTTTTTTTGCCTTTTTGAGACAGGATCTTGCTATGCAGTTCAGG